GCCTCCGACTCCTCTGGTGTGAGGGCGAGAAGGGTCCATCCTCGTTTGCCGGGGTGTCGGCGCGGAGGGATAAACCAGCAACAGGTATGTTACTGTTGGAAGAAAAGAAAAATCAAACCTTACCGTTATTTCGAAAGAAAAACTGCGGGGCAGATTACAATATTAACTGGTGTGTTAATATTTGTTCAATTCTTCTGCAAAGCAAAAAAAAGTAACCGGCAAGCGCCTGTCGACCGAATGTTAGCTTGGGTTCAGTCTGTGGACCGTTAAGCTAGCCCGGCTACTGATATTCGAGATGTGCTCTGAAGCGAGAAGAGGTGTTTGAATGACGCTGCGACGTAGCGCAAGCTACTTAAAGGGTGGATGGATTCCCTGACGTAGACGTCAAGATCACCAGCCAATAAGGATTGGCGTAATGAGATTGATGCTTCTGTTTGCATACGCGTTGAGGCGCATCCCATAGTGAGACATCGAACGGAGTGTTATGAATGAGAACACAAATGCTACATTTCAAATGTTTACAATCCATCACTAAATTCATGGCAAACCAATTTTAACATCATGCAATAACACTAAGACGACATTAGTTGCATTGAACTGTATAACGGGACGTGAGAGAGAGATCAGATCAGCTGCTGCTCCACTCCGCACCACAGTTACTCCGCTGCGAGACGCTGCGCGCACCCCCAACTCTGACTGACTTCCCGCGTCCCTGTGTAACTGGGAAACTGATATAATTGGATCATAAGATCGTGGTGTTTTTGCAACTTCGGCTTTCAACTGACTTACCTTCAAAACACATGTATGGCTCTGCCGCTCAGCGCTGCTGCTTGTCTTGTCTGCGTTCTTTCGCACCTGCCTGTAATCTGAGAAGGTCCCGCCTCTCTGGCTGACTCCCGCCCGGAAAATCTTCAGTGTTGATTGACACTTCAGTAGCCTCAGAGCCAAAGTTTTATCGGCAATTTGATAAAAAAAAGGCCGATACCGATAATCGGTCAAATGTGGAATATCGGCCCCGATAATCGGACAGGCCGATTATCGGTCGACCCTTAGCGTTTACGTCGGAGGGGGGCGAGATTAACCTGAGCTAATAGTTTATGGCGAGTATGGCAAATAAAAGTTGTAACAAGCAGTAGCGCTGAGCAAAGTGACTAGAACGCAACCACACACTTGTAAAAAAAAAACACACTTTATTAAGTCAGGCAACACTAACCAGGCTTCGTGTGATTCTGTTTATTTGTACCTTACTTTGACCATCCGTTCGCTGTTATTGATCATTGTGGAGAGCAGGCAGACGTTTTGTATTATAGCAGCTATCGGATGGAATCAATACATGGGCTGCTAGGGGTGTAACGGTTCACAAACATTTCGGTTCGGTACGTACCTCGGTTTTTAGGTCACGGTTCGATTCGGTACGTTTTCGGTACAGCAGAAAAAATCATCACAAAACAACAGATATTTCATGTTTTTTTAAAAATTATTATTAAACTGTGAATAATGCAGCATTTTGATGAACTGAAATAATCTGTATTTGAACTTTACTGTACTAGTACTCAGCAAAAAGGCCGATACCGATAATCGGTCAAATGTGGAATATCGGCCCCTAGCGTTTACGTCGGAGGGGGGCGAGATTAACCTGAGCTAATAGTTTATGGCGAGTATGGCAAATAAAAGTTGTAACAAGCAGTAGCGCTGAGCAAAGTGACTAGAACACAACCACACACTTATACAAAAAAACACACTTTATAAAGTCAGGCAACACTAACCAGGCTTCGTGTGATTCTGTTTATTTGTACCTTACTTTGTTTAAACATAAACTATTAGTTTTGGGTTTTTAAATATTATTAAACTGTGAATATTCACTCAAATAAATACAAAATATAATAAAATAAACATTAAGGTGCAGCATTTCGATGAACGGAAATAATCTGTAGACCCTCCAGAAAAACGCGATCGCAAAATCGCGCAGATTTTTAAAAGGGCGCATATTTATTAAAAGGGCGCATAATCCCCGCATTTTTCCACACAAAGTTGAGAAGAAAAAAAAGTTAACTCGTCTTGACGTGAAGTAGTGATGATGACGCAACGTCATCAGCTCGCGCATCACAGAAGGTAAACAACACTGTAGAGTGAACGTGTGGAAGGATTTTTGCCCGCGTTTTTCTTGTCATTGTATTTTTATGTTTTTTTTAAAGAAAAATTAACTTGTCCACATTGCTTGCCGAAAAGGGCAGATCTGCTGGCACTAACAATGTCTCCTGCTGTGGAGAAAACCCTCTCGCTAGGGACAGAGGTAGCAGATACAGCCAGGTAGCGCTTTGCTAACATAAGGATATTTGGCGTTTGAAATAGCTTTGGCTCGGTCTGAACTTTTTGCGAGTGGTGGAGGCTTAAATGCTAGTGGGAGTTGGGTTTTTTTTTTTTTTTTTTTTTGTACCGGTGATATTCACGTTGGGGGGATGCCTTTTTCAAATGAGTGTGCAAGTTTAATGTATTGCCAGCCGCGTAACCAATTTTAATTGAACAATGCCAACAAACAGCTTTGGTTCGGTCCACCTGTCTTTGTCCGTCATCCTTGTACGTAACTGCGAAACCAAAATGTTCCCAAACCAGAGACTTCAATGATGCTGGAGGATTTTCGAGCTCAACTTTATCTGCGTTCGCCATTTCGCCATTTCCTCAAATTACTGACTAAATATGAACGCATCCCTGTGATCAGCTCTCATAGTATGCCTCTCGTCCAATGAAATGACTTGGTCGCTTTATGACGCGTTGAACCCAACATGAGCAAATTACTCTGAATGCTGCGACGTAGCACCTGAGATTACTTCCAAAAAGTTGTTCACGTTCTCAATTTTTTACATTTAACGTTATATTCGTTCGGTACCGAATAATCTCTGTACGGGTACGTATACCATTACACCCCTATGGGCTGCACAGGTTGTCATGTCTATCACAAGTAGAATCATAAACCGGTAAAATGTGCCTGTAGAAAACGGTTTATGCCACAATAGGATAGCAACAACAAGTAGTCAAGATAGTCAGTTTAGCTTCGGTTGCTATGCATCACCCATTTTATACCAGAGCATCTTTCATAACAGCGTTGTGATGCCAAACAGCATCAATTCATACTGAAACACATTCACTTATGGGGAATTGGGGATATGTATCAGCTGCTTGTGTGACAGTTAGACAGTGAAAACTTTACAGCGGCCGCTGCCGTGAGTTAACGGGAGAATAAACTCCGGTGGAAGAGCAACACTGCAGCGCTCGGTAAATGCCGCTGAAAGTTTGAAACATTAATAAACAATGAACCACGGCATTCTGGAGAAAAGTATAAGGTTGGAGAAGTCGTTATTTAATTGTATCTGGCTTGGTATGATTAAAAGTAACACGATCATCGACCCGATGCATTGTTGTTGTTGTGAGCACCGTTGGGGAGAAAATCAGCGACGTAAACGGTGACGTCATGACGCAGGAGCGGCAGCACCAGTCGGGCTCTGGGCGGTGTGAACAAAACGGGGGCTGAAAAGAAAAAACGGTTCCGAACCAGAAGAGCTAGAACGGGAACCGCGTTGGTGTGAAAGGGGCAACTGAGGCGTTGGGAGTGGCTCCTTATTTTCATCTAAAGTAAAAGACAGAGAATCAGCATTTTTGAAACGGGGCTGAAACAGAGGGGATTATGGCATGCTACAATGCATGATCTGTTTGGTATTTGGAGCCAAACACTTCAGAGACATGTTTTGTATATAACTGAGAACTATAATAAAGTAATGAAAAACAGTATAATAGGGGACCTTTTAAGGTTTCAATAATCAGGGCCGGCCCTGACCAAATTGCTGCCCTAGGCAAGATTTTAGCTGCTGCAGTGCTGGGCCGTGCTGAGGGGGAGAAGGTGTTTGCAGGTGGCCCAAAATATTTTAAAGGTGCATCTGAAGAGAGAAGAGAAGTATATGTGACCATCAAGAGATGCATTATAATTGTTAGACCTAAGTCATATTGTAGAAATCAGATTACAGGTGTAGCTCACAATATCATATATTGCCTCCATACCATGTACAATTGTTGCATTTATCTCTGCAAAAGGAGCCCCGACCAAGTATTGAGTACATATATGAACAAACTTTTCAGAAGGTCGAAATATCTGTATTATAAATCCTGTTTTGATTCGCCTTATCTAATATTATACTATTGGGAGATACAGGATTAGTGATTTTCATGATCTTTAAGCTGTAATCATTACAATTAAAACAAAAAAGGCTTGAAATATTTCACTTTATGTATCTAGAATGTTTCATTTTTTGAAATAAATTACAGAAAAAAAGTTCTATGATATTTTTTTTAGATGCACCTGTAGATTCAGCTTTAGCATCTAACCAGGTGGCAAAGAAGCAGTTCAGTGCAGTGTAATATAGCATATTAAAGATAAAGGCTAAGGTGTGCAGTATTTACAGTAATTACGAGCATTTTAACACTGATGTAAACTTCACACTATTGAACATACTTTAGACAGCATAAACTGTAATGCATTAAAATAAAGGCCTACAACTATAAATAATGAACGGGATATAAAAGCATTTGAATGACTAGCCTATTACTACAAGCAGGGAAAACATATACTCCTTTGTCCGCTGCCTATGCCAAGGGCCGGCCCTGTCAATAATAAATGTTTATTGTAAAAAGACGAGTGTAATGTTAATAGTTCGACCTTGAAAGAAAGTCATCGTCGTCTTTATATTTTTGAAAAATGTAACACAGCATCTTCCCTTTTTTTTAACTATAGATTTAGTTCATTGATAGGGTCTCTTTAATGGCATGATTTCTGGGTTTGGCCATATCAGGATAATTGTACGTAGAAATCAAACTTCATAAATAAAATTCAATAATTGTGTCAAGAATTACCCGCTTCCTGGGTGTATTATCTGTTGTAAATGTAATGTTGTGTTAAGGTTGCAGTGTAAACTTGTGAAGCTGTTCTGACTCACTGTTCTGACTCACAGCACCAGGACAGTGAGAATAGAAGCCACCCAGTGACGAAAGCAAAGACCAGAGGCCTGCCCGCTGACAGGTAGGCCAGACGAGTTTAAAACACAGATATGGGAACTCTGCAGGTATCAGCTGCTTCGTAAAAAACTAAAAATGTATGTTAAATAATAGCCATTAATGGATTTTTTAAGGTTGCAGTCCCATGTCTTTGTAGATGGTAATGATCAAGTCTGTGTTCTGTATGGAAATGAGTGTGTTGCTACATTTGTAGTTTTTTGTTACTGTGTTTCTCTGTTGACATTGCTCTTTACCCTGTCCCATCTCTTGTCTTTTTAGGGATAAGCTGAAGGGAAAGGGTGCTACCTTTGTAGCCAACGGTAGATTGGTACCAGCTCAGAGGAAAGGTGAGTGTGTGCATGGCTGTTTAATGCCTATAATAGAAAGTACATGTTAAGGACGCATCCCTCAAAAATAAATAATCTGCATTATGTTCAAAAATGTAAAGCAGGATTAGTTAACAGCTGCAAGATGGTAAAAATGAATAAACAATTATAAACCTTAAAACCTGCCTCTTACAACAACCTGTAATGTGAAATGATCAAGACAATTATGTTCACAATAACAATGCCATAGTACTAACTTAAAACTCTATACAAGGCAAGGACAGTTTATTTATATAGCACCTTTCAACACAAGGCAATTCAAAGGGCTTTACAAAAATGAAAGACATTCAGAAGATGGCATTTAAAAACAGTCATTAAAAAGAAAAAATAATAAAAGAAACATTAAAAGAAAAAAATACACGAATAAAAGTTACTGTGCAGTTTGAGATATGAATATATCAATTAAAAGCAGCGGCAAAAAGAAAAGTCTTCAGCCTGGATTTAAAAGTAGTGAGAGTTGCAGCGGACCTGCAGGTTTCTGGGAGTTTGTTCCAGATATTTGGAGCATACTAACTGGACGCTGCTTCACCATGTTTAGTTCTGACTCTGGGGACAGAAAGCTGACCAGTCACTGAAGACCTGAAAGATCTGGATGGTTCATAATTTAGCAGGAGGTCAGAAATGTATTTTGGGCCTAAACCATTCAATGCTTTATAAACCAGCAGCAGTATTTTTGAAATATATTCTTTGACACACAGGAAGCCAGTGTAAAGACTTAAGAACAGGAGTGATGTGATCCACTTTCTTAGTGTTAGTGAGGACTCGAGCAGCAGCGTTCTGAATCAGCTGCAGCTTTTTTAATAGATTTTTTAGTGAGACCTGTGAAGACACCATTGCAGTAGTCCAGTCTACTAAAGATAAAAGCATGGAGTTTTTCCAAATCCTGCTGTGACATTAGTCTTGTAATCCTAGATATATTCTTTAGGTCATAGTAGGCTGATTTAGTAATTGTTTTAATGTGACTGTTGAAACTCAGGTCAGAGTCCATGACTACACCTAGATTTCTGGCTTTATCTGTTGTTTTGAACATTGCAGACTGAAGCTCAGTGCTAACTTTTATACGTTCTGACTTGGCTCCAAAAACCATTACCTCAGTTTTATCTTTGTTTAATTGGAGAAAGTTCTGACACATCCAGTCATTGATGTGTTCAATGTACTTAATCAGTGTTTGAATTAGAGAATAGTCTCCTGGTGAAATGGTTATGTACATTTTTGTGTCATCCGCATAGCTATGGTAACTTATTTTGTTGTTTTTCATTATCTGAGCCAGTGGTAGCATGTCGATTTTAAAGAGAAGAGGCCCCAAGATGGAGCCTTGAGGAACCCCACATGTCATATTTGTCAACTCAGATGTGTATTTACCTACAGAAACAAAGTTTTTTCTGTCCTTTAAGTAGGATTCAAACCAATTTAGAACTATTGCCGAAAGTCCCACCCAGTTTTCCAGTCGGTCTAGTAATATCTTGTGGTCAACAGTGTCAAACGCAGCACTGAGATCTAATAATACTAACACTGAAGTTTTTCCACTGTCTGTGTTTAAGTGGATGTCATTAAAGACCTTTACAAGAGCAGTCTCAGTACTGTGGTTTGGACGAAAGCCTGACTAGAACACATCAAAACAGTTATTTAAATGCAAGAAATTACTCAACTGTTGAAAAACAACTTTTTCAATAATTTTACCTAAACATGGCAGGTTTGATATGGGCCTGTAATTGTTCATTCATCATCTAGATTATTATTCTTTTTTAAGAGCGGTTTAATGACTGCAGTTTTCAGGGCCTGTGGAAAAACACCTGACTGAAGATAATTGTTTACTATATGGAGTAGATCTGAGGCCATGTAATGAAACACTTTTTTTTTTAAATCCTGTTATATCCTGGTATCCTGGTATAATATCAAGGCAGCAGGAGGAGGATTTCAGAAGTTGAATAATGTCCTCTAGGTTTTTATCATTAATCTGATGGAATTGTGTCATGATGTCTGAATTGATGTTAAGTGGAGATAGGGACAACACATTTGCTGTTCCTGATGCAGAGGCACTGACTGCTTGTCTGATTTTCTGAATGTTGTCAGTGAAGGAGGCAAAATCATTGCACGCCCTGGTGGATAGAAATTCAGAGGCTACTGACACTGGGGGGTTTGCTAGTCTGTCGACGGTAGCAAACAAGGCACGTGCATTGTTTTTGTTTTTGGCAATGATGTTAGAGAAGAAAGACTGTCGTGCAATTTTCAATTCCAAATTATAAAAGCCAAGTCTCTCTTTAGATTTCAAAATGAACCTGGAGATTTGTTTTTCGCTACCTGCGTTCAGCTTTTCGACACTTTTTTTTCTGCTCTCACGGTCATGGCCTTTCTCCATGGAGATATTTCCTTTACCTTAGTTGGAGCAATGGCATCTATAACTATCTACTAGCTCATTTACTGAGATGTTAGCAGGGGCAAGTGTGGAAGTAAACATTTCCCTAGTATTTTCAGTTAAATATTGCTTTGTGGTTACCCCTTTTTGAACATTTTTGTGAAAAGAAATAGAGCTCTCAAAGAAAACACAGGAATGATCAGAGAGTGCAACATCAGTCACCACAACCTTAGAGATATTCAGACCCTTTGAGATAATTAAGTCCAGAGTGTGCCCCTTATTGTGCGTGGGATTTGCTAATCAAATATAACACATTTGCACAATAATACCTAAATATAACATTGTTTTAACATTATTTTAACATATCCAAAGGGTGTAAGGGACATTTCTTCCATATTTTACAAGAATCATGTCTGTTGGATATTTTAAGAAACTGGCTAATAAACATTGACACTAAACACACCCGTGCTTAAAATAGTGTTAGACCCCATTCCACACAGCTCCATACTGTTTTAAACCATAGGGCTTGCACAACAGTAGCCTCTCTTAAAGGCACTACACATATACCGGTGCATTCATTCATCCAAGTGAAGACATTTCTGCAGTTTAACTCACAGATGTTGTTTCAGATGGAGGTTCTGGTCCAGATACATCATCAGAAAGCTACAGCTCTCCATCCAGCCCTCAACGCCGAGGACCAGAGAGCCTGGATAGTGAGGATGACAACAACAAAGGTAAAACACACGCGCGCGGTACACTTGAGCAATTTTATATTTTGTAATTTTACCATTTTCAACCAAAATGTGCGAACGTGCTGGTTTTTACACACTGTTAAACACACAAAACACGGATGCTCTCACATTCCCAGTAGACGGGTCCTTTTTTTGGTCACAAATGCGCCGACAAGAACTGGAAGCAGGGTAAGAAAAGAGGCAACTAAGACAGTTGAATTTTTCTCCAAAAAAAGTTGGTGATTAGAACAAAGACGGTTGTAATAAGTTTTTTAGTTTTGTTCCTGTTGCATTTTGAATTGTGTGATTTACAACGATCAGCGAGGTACTGTAGGGGAGTATATTAATTGTATGTTAAATTATAATATTGTCGAAATACCTGTTGCGTGTCCATCCGAGTGTCATGCTTCCATCAGTGCTCAATGGTGATGAAGTAAAAAAAAAGTCTTGTGTCTTGGGAATAATTCAAAATTGTAACCACAGCAGGCTTGGAATTTCGTCATTTTAGGGGCAAGGCCATTTGGCCTTCCCGTTCACATTTTTTTTAAGGGCACAAAGGCCACATGACAGGGCACAAAGGCCGTTTGGTTCAATTACGCTGGTCAATCAACATGACTGAAAAGTGTAGCACTAACGTCAACACCAGTCGTTTTACAAATGGCTGAATAGCAATAGTGTTTCTTAAACGTATACGTTAAGTTCAGCCATAAACCACATAAGTCAGTCATGTATTATATCAAAACCGCTTGGCAAGAAAAATACTAGATTCAAAGGTGACAGCTATCTGCTAACTTGTAGAAGCAACACTAGATGTAGACCCCTTGAAGGGAAGACGTTAGCGCTATCCAAACTAGCTAGCTATCGCTAGTTTTCATGACAAAATGTAACGAGTCGACTTTAAATAGGCTAATACAATGGTAATTACCTATCAATAGTACTTTCTATAAACACGTAAATGTTAAGTCCTTTCAAATACTACCACATACTTCAGCTAAATCATATCAAAACAGCTTGGTCCGCTTGCTTACCTGTGCTTGTCTTGCTCCCGCGGCTGAGGAGGAGGCTGTCGGGCCCCTACAGGCATTTCTGATGGAACAATCACAGCAGAGCAATCGCTCTGATGCACAGACACGGGACTATCCTACTGCGCGCACTAGTATGACTTCACTAGCGTTGTTTACACTGGAACTTTTGACAGGGGCACCAAGGCCACTTTGGCCGTGAATTGCATTTTTTTTCACAGGGCATCACGGCCAAAGTGCGGGGCAACGACGGCCATGGCCGTCGTGAAATTCCCACCCTGAACCACAGTGAACACTTAATACAAAAGCCAGGTGATAGCGGGAAATGGGCTTAATTGTCCCAGGTATTTTGGTGTGACATGAACCTGCGCTAACCTGATTTTGTTTCTCTTTTAGATACAGACAGCCACTCTGATGACTCTAGCAAAGGGCCGGGCCCTGACATGTTCTTCGCCCTCCAGACTGATCCCTCTGTGGTTGGGGATCTCTCCTCTGTCCAGCCTCTGTCTTCCAATAACCACCAGGCCCAGATAGGGCCCCTCTGCCCAGAGACCAGTACAGAGATCCGCCCTTTCTCCTTCATGCGTTCTCTGCCCTTTGTGATCACTAATGGAGCTGCTGACTCAGCACTTCCACTGGCCCCTCCTCCTCCCAGCCAAAGCATAGTCCCAGATGTGATGCCCTCGTCTGGGACCGTGATGATGCCCCTAGTGCCTCCAGCTCTTCTAGGCCCTGGGATTGTAGGAGACCCAGAGAAAAGGGACGTGCTCCCAACCTTTGGGATATCCCCGATTGGCCTCCACGCTCCTTCAGCAGGTCCTGCTGTGCAACCTCTGGTCCAGAGGTTCAAAACAGCTATGTCTCAGAGCCACGGTGCCACGGATAGAGCTACAGGGAGTGGTTCTAGTGCCCCACCTGCTTCACACCAGGCTCCTATAAGAGCCATCAGAGTCATGTCTCCTGGCCCGACATCCTTTGCCTCGCCTCTGCAGCAGCCTCTGCCCTGCCAAGACCCGGCCGGTGTCAGCCCGGGCCTGGCCTCCACCCTGACACACGTGGAGACTTCACATGCCAAGCTCCCCGGCTTAACCTTACCATCTGGCCTGCCTTCTCCCTATACCCTGCCCCCTGTCCCCACCTCTGCCATGCCTACTGCAGCCCCTGGAATAGCTCCATCCTCTGGACAGGCACAAGCAGCTGTCCCTTCAGCTGTGCCCACCCACACCCCTGGGCCCGCTCTGAGCCCCAGCCCAGCGCTGACTCACAGCACAGCACACAGCGACTGTACATCCTACAGCAACAACAGTGCTTCCTGTGGGAGTGCCTCTGTTACCCCTGGAAACCCCATTACTCTTCAGCAAACCCAGCAGCTACACTTGCCCCCGCAGCAACTAACCCCACCTCAACAACAGCACCAGCAGCAGCAGCAGCACCACCAACAGCAACAGCACCACCAACAACAACAACAGCAGCACCAACAGCACCAACAGCAGCAGCACCAACACCAACAGCAGCAGCAACAACAGCATGCAATAGGCTGTGGGACCTGTGGTTGTCACAATAACTGCGGTAGCAGAGGCAGCCTCAGTAACAACAACAGTGTCACTATGCCCCCTGGTTGCCAAGCACCCTTATTCTTCCCCCACCAGATGGCGGCAGCACGACAGGTGTTCAGCGTCCCATCACCTGTCTTTCAGCTCACAAGCCTGTGCAGCAACAGTTACCTCACCCAGGCCCAGTCCCCCCACCAAGCCAATGGTGCCACCCCCCTGCCCCCCTTCTTCCCCACCGCCCCACCACCCGCACACCCGTCCCCATATGGTCCCATGCACACTCACACCCACAGCCATGCAGACGTGCCATCACACATGCTGGGCACCGCCGCAGCTGCAAACTACAACCTCCAACAGCAGATGGCGCCAGCGGCATCTTTCTTCCAGCGCTTATACCAGCACGTGTACCCAAATCCCCTGGGGATGCTGCCTGCTGCAGCACTGGGCGGAGGTGGAGTCAATAAGAAAAGCGGCAGTGTGTCCTGCTATAACTGTGGTGTGAGTGGCCACTATGCTCAGGACTGCAACCAGCCCTCCATAGACTCCACACAGCAAGGTAGTGCAGCTACACGGAACAGGGAGAAACAGAGAACCCCTTAGTTTTCTTCCCCAGCACTACAACATGACTAAATTAGGGCTCATCCTCATAAAGTATATTTTCAGCTGATTCATTTCAGTTCTGATGGGTTACCTTATTGGCCAGAAGAGAAGCTGTGCCAATGGAACATTCATATTGCATGCAATAACAACACTTACATGCTTAAAAATACTTATGTGGGTTATCTACAGGACCACCTGTAATGAGGTACGTTAGAAAACAGAGTGTTGGTACCTGGAATCACTGCCAGAAAATTATATAATTGTAAAGAGCAGACCCCCAACCACCCATTGTCCCCGATAGCTTATTAGAAATAAGAAAAAAGTCGACAGTTATACATTAGTGGGTTTGCATTGAAAAGTTTCAGGAAAATGCAGTGGGCTGCACTTTTATTTTGTTTTATTTTTCTCTTGAAAAAAAGAAAGTATACTGTATGAAAACACTTCTGATATTCACACATTTCACATTTGGTTTTGTTGCCTTATTTTGGTTTGCCAAACCTTAATGGGCTAAATACTGAACCCTGAGGAACCCCCAATGTAAATGACTCCCATCAGCCACAAGTTGCAGCAATGCTTGAAAACAACCTTGGACTAGTATTACAAAGGTGGACTATCTGCACAGAGTTGCAACCTTTAGATTTTGCTTTGGGAAGCATGACTCCTGTCACACTCCCAGTGTTAGTGCTAGGGATGGGTACCAAAACCCGGTTTTAAGCGGGCCCCGGGGCAACATTTTGAAAGATGTTATCTTGCACATCTTATTCAACCAACTCCATTTCTAATTTGCAATACCCTTATTTTTGCTCTCTTCACTCCATAAGAGCAATCTTTCTCGTCTGTGTACAAGGGCGGAGCAGCTCTCTCATGCTGCAGCGCCGTACACTAACACATAGATCTGCCAGGGACGGAACAAAACGTTTAAAAATATAGTTACACTTTACAAGGCTCTATGTAGACAATGGCAAAAGTGTTTATTGCGGAAACACAAGCAATCTGTCCTAACATGTGATTTTTACTCCAGGTGTAACTTGAGTCTTATTTAAGGGTTGAATATATTTCACATTATTAATCAAAATGTGCAAAGTAACGAAATATATTAAGGAAATGTGGTTAAAAAGTATAGTATTAACCTCTGAATTATAGAGTCTGTACAAAGTAGCACAACATGTAAATACTCAAGTAAAGTAGAATTATCTCAGAATTGTACGTAAGTACAGGATTTTATTTTATTTGCATTTCCATCATTACACAAGTCTGTAATTTTATTTACAAAAAAAAAAAAATTGTATGATAAATAAAGTAATGTTATTTCTGGTTAAAAATAAATAAATACAAAAAATAAATAAATAAAAAATAAAAAGGACCGATAAAAACACAGTAGAAATACCGAATTGATAAGCAGTATCGGTAGTAGTACCGTTAAAATCTAAACGATACCCATCCCTAGTTAGTGCTTAACTAACTGAAAACATGAATAGTAGACAGACATGATGTTCTTTGAAAAGACAGTTTGATCATAGTTTAATTTGATTTAAATTAGGTTACATTTTTTATTTGTAACTGTCCACTGATTGTATACCCTCTGTGTGTTTGGATGCATCTCTGTATGTGTGCATGTGGTTGTTTGTGTGTTTGTGGTGACATTGCAGGTGGCTTCCGGTTAAAGTATGCGGCCTCCCACATTTCAGAAGCAGTTGACAATGCCGACTGAAGGGAAAGGATAATGAAGAGTTCCTCTGGTCTCGTGTCCACAGTGACGGCTGCTGTTCTTCCCAAAGCACTGTGTGAGCAGCACTGAAGCCTCTCGAACGTTAGGGGAAAAAACACCATTTAGAACAGAAGGTGACCTGCCAAGGGCTCAGCGGACAAAGCCTAAGTACTTGTGCCTGGGAAAATCTTGTTCCCATAGAGATGATCACTGTCTCGTGCACAGTAACGGTCCCTTCCCTTTTACGTTTTTTAATCTTTTTTGCACTGATGGTTGGAAACAATTAACTTATTGCTTAATTTCTAGGAAGATATCTTTGTTTGTTTTTACATTCAAGTGGAGACTAGTCTCAACTGAAAAAAAGTTATTATACACTTATTTCTAAAAAGCCACGTTTTTCCTCATTATTACTGTTAATCTAGGATTTTATTGTTCGGACAGAATTGTACAGCATTGTAAAAAAAAAATTAAATCAAAAAAGAATTTTAGCAACAATAATTGTATGTTTCTGAATGTACACCTTTTTTAAGGACTGACTGTCAGTGTATGAATCTCATGCATTTGTTGCCACTTGATCTGTTGTGGTTAGAAGGTAACAGCTGCTTTGTAATGTTGTCTTATTCGTTAAACTTGTTTTACTTGGTGAAATGCACTAATGCAACACAAGTGCACTAAAAAAGTCGGCACCACAACCAAGCAGATTTTCGAATGTATACATTTTCACAATCTGAATTTAAAGGAAATGACAGTCTGCGTTATTTTAGTGGAATTTTGTATTTAAGGTGTGAAGCATTTATTTATGGATAATATTTTAAAGAGAGGGCAATCTTTCTCAGTTTCCTTAATATTAAATACAACAGAGAAGAGGATCATTCTTCTGATCCAGTTGAGTAAAGACGTCTTTGCAAGCAGTTAGCATATACCTGTACTTTTTATAGTGTCGGGTCTCTAGTGTTCTCTAGAGGATTTAGACTGATTACATTGTTTAAATGTAGGACAAATAAGAACATAAACGTCTTCAGAATGCAATTCTGCAGACGGTGAAACCATTGTCAAACTATTCATTATAATTGGTAGACAGACACAAATTAAAACTCTAATTATAGACTAAGAAATGTATGCTTTTCTAGAGAGAATTAACAAGCACTACTTTCCTGCCCTGTTGGTAACTTATTACAATTGTGTATTTGTATGACAGATTGCATCCTTAAGAGATAATGGTACACAGCTAGTTCCATTCTAAGCCTACTAAGAGCGGAATGTAATAGTTTATTGTAGCTAAAACTGAGAATAAACCTGACGTTTTCTAAATATCTGTTAACTAATCAAACTATCTGTATACCTTTTTTACACAAAACTGTTGTCAACTAACTTACAACATCAGACAAACCTGATGGCATTTGACAACTAAAAACGGAAGTCACCAAAACCACCTTTACTGTAATGCCTAATTTGGTTTGAAGCTCTTTAAGTTCTTTGAAAAGTGTTTGGGAAACATTTGAATAATAAATAGAGGCAGGATGTAAGAATATGGAGCTCCTATGTGCACAGTATTAAACAATAAATGAAACTTAGCTGTTGAAATACTTTAATACGTTTTTATAGTTTTTTTTTACTTGAATCTTTTGCTTTAAAATGTCCTCTTTCATAAAAGCCGACCTGTCCTGCCTTCCAACTTTTCAGCCAATCACATGCCTCCCTGCCTATTAAGCTAGCAAGATCAACAACTTCTGCCATATTTAGGTAGTTAGCACCTGTTAGCTAGGGCAAAGAAAAGTGACATGAAAACAATCTAAGTTTGAAAATAAAAGGCCATTAATTTTATAACTAGATGGTTTATATATTTTACATGGTTAATTCGTGTTATTTTGGTCATAATGTAGTTTTTTTTTTGTATTTAATATTGAACACTTCCATATGAGAACGTGTGCAAGAAGGTAACCGTTAACAAAAATAACTTAAACCTGGACTGTTAATGATGTTTGTACATTATGAGCATCTGTGTTTATAGGCCTGTCTAAAGACAATTGAAATATATCTTACCGAAGGATGCAAGTTCTCAGTTCCTCGAGATTAATGTGGCATGTAATGCTTCCCCCATCAATGTTGTTTCTGAGTGTGCAACTTTCTGCCCTTATGGTGTTTTCAGGGCTTGCTTTTGTCTCCCATCCTACTGTCAGTGCATTAGTTACATTTAAGTCTATGCATATTGTTTTCATGAATACTAAAAAAGTGACTTTTAGGAAAAACCAGAGGTGGATTCAGAGATATTTTCCTTCCATGTTTAAAGGATGCACACCCTCAAACTGACTGCTGTGAGATCCGATTGTCTTCAGTTCCACTTTGAACATTACTTGTGTCCAAAACTGCTTCCCTGCTCTTCAGTGGATGTTTTAAGCGGATCAGATCCTGCTCAGTTCTGGATCCAGTGATCAGAAATCAGTGTAAATACTGAGGAGGCCCCTAACAACCTGAGTGTAGTTGTGTTGATGGTTTGCAAAATGCTGTACTGTATTTGCAAGGAGTCCCTGTGCTGCCCACCTCAGTTGTAATGTTTACTGTACTCTTTGATATCTATGTACTTGAAAGGTCAAACATATTTCTAAAGTGGAATTTGGATTTTATGCAAATTGTTTTTCTGTAATTAAAAGCAATAAATATAAAAAATGGAAAGTACATTTTTTTCTGACTTGAGTGTTTTCTTTTGTTAAAACATCTTTATTCAAATATTCAGAGAACTTTGAAGATAGAATTACAGAAACCCACAATATTGACAAAAAATCTGCTTTACATTTAAATAGAAAAATACTACATATTTAAAACGTTCACTACATTGACATATTAGTGTATTTGCAACTACAGTTTTACGGACAAAACAATCCATCACAGACTTGATATAATGAACATGTTGAACTAGCAAAACAATCGTTTTTTTAGAGTAACTTTAAAAATCTGCCATTTTTTATAGCGTGCTGCTGAAACATTTTGAAGTATGAATGCTTTCTTAAGAGAAAACTGCATCACTTTTAAATGATTCTATGTGCTGACCACTTTACATTGACTAAAATGCCTTTTTATGTGTGTGTGTTTAACTCCTGTTGTTCTGCAGAGAGTCAATGAGACTCTTGTTGTACTCTGCCACTTGTTGGGAGACATTCTTGGCGACCGAGGCGTAGTCACTCTCCTGAGATTTCGAGGCGATGACTGATGCTTCAGTTAAGGAAAGATCCCTGATGTATCCAATGAGTGGCTTTTACGGGATCAAATGTTTCATAGAAGGGTTCAGTGGGAGACAAATCATTGAGCAATAAGGAGAAAAATACATCATTCAGAAGGATACACTCTTTCATCACAAAGTTGTTCTGCTCCAAGTGTTGCCATTTCCTCTCAAGGTTAGCCAGCTAAATCACAAAGAACACACACACAGAAAATTAGCATGAGGAGAATAATACAGGTCTATAACAGCATCTAATGGTTGTATGTGTAGAGTAGTGATTTATACATATTTCAGAATGCTGATATAGTGATGTCTTTTCTGATAACAGTGTAAAATGCTCTGACCTGAGCGTGAGTCTCGTTTTCTTGCAGTTTGGTCTTCAGAGCTTCATATTTCTGATTCATTTCCTCCAGCAGCTGTTTGAATGAATCCCTACGCTGAGTAAGTGACACACGCTCCTCTTGTAGCCTCTGCACCAGAATGACACAAAGGTTAGCCTACAGTTTGATTATCTTTAGCCAAATAAAAACTGATATTTTAGAGTTATGGGGCTGATATTCGTGATGCTGCCATCTTTCTCATTTCTGAGTCTCTTTTCACCTTCTTCTTCTCCTCCCCTGTGTGCCTCAGGGTGTCCAGGTCTCTGTAGGTGAGCAGCTCTGTCTCCATGGTGCCAACGCGCTCCTTCAGGGAGCTGAGCTCCCCGCTGATCTTCCCCTCCAGCTGCTGCACCTTCTCCAGGTCCTGCTGCAGCCGCTGGGATTCTGGGTGGAGGTTAGCATGTTAGCATGTTAGCATTCACCTGTTGTTTTTAAGGTTTATCAAATCATCCCAATTTGGGAAATTATTTCATCACAGAAGCATAAGTGTGTTCAGACTTTATAATACAATACAATACTTTAAATACTTTAAAAAGTGGAAAAGATCATTAACATTTCAAAATAAAATGAAAACATATATCAAATATAAACAAAACAATATAGAATATTCTGGATAATTGAAAAATACTACAGGTCTTTTATAAAATAAATACTACAGGTCTTTTATAAGAAAGGAGAAACTATAGGTTACTTACGTAACCCCAGTTCTCAGAGTAACATGAAGTGAGATGTCTCACTATGGGATGCGCCTCATCACGGAGCAAACAGAAGCATCAATCTCATTACGCCAATCCTGATTGGCTGGTGATCTTGACGTCAGCGTCAGGGAATTCACCCCCTATAAGTAGCTTGCGCCACGACGCATGTGTCATTCAAAATAAGCACCTCTTCTCGCTTCACCATAGCAAGGAGGGCCGTCTGGTGAGACATCTCACTTCATGTTACTCTGAGAACTGGGGTTACGTAAGTAACCTATAGTTCTCATTCATAACACTCCGTTCGATGTCTCACTATGGGAAATTGTAGCTCCCGTATTGTCAGACGAGCTTATCTCGAAAATCACCAAACCAACCAGAACTTAAAAGGTAGAGCTCTGACTCAACCAGGTGCCCAGCACTGCTTGAGTCACACTGGGAGCAGAACGTCCAGCCTGTTAAGAGGCGGACAAAAGTGAGCGGCGAGGACCAACTCGCCGCTGCACCAATGTCTTGGATGGGAGACATCCTGGACAGAGTCCAGCATGCAGCTAGACCCTGAGTCGAAAGAGCTCGCGGACCCGAGGGTGCCTGCGAACTCTGACTCGTATGAGCCCCAAAGCAATTGCTTCCACAAACCAGTGGGAGAGCCGTTGCTTAGTAACAGGCTTGCCCTTATAAGGGTTAGCCCAGGACACAAGGGGTTGGTCATTATGACAAAGCACCCTTGATCTGTCCCTGTACGTGCGTAAAGCACGGGCTGGACACGGCAAATCCAGCCGCTGTTCCCCGGAGGAATACAGTGGCGGGGAGGATGCCTCAATGTCAAATGTGGTACCTGAACCAACCGCCTTAAGATAAAGGCAGGGTCAGGCTTCAACCACACTCTGTTTGCCCTGGGGCGAACTGAGTGCATGAAGACTGTACAGATAGTGCATGAGTGCCACTGGCTCGCTTGGCAGCTGCCAGGGTCAGCTTCATGTCACACTGTATTCAGATTGTACCACTCACGGGCCAGGCCCATAGAGCCAAGCGCTCTGGGTGTGGGTGAAAGATCGCCCCCCCCCGCTTGGGACAGTATGTCCCTGCGTAGTGGGAGCTGCCATGGCTGCCCGCACAGCAGCTGATATATCTCCGCTAGCCAGTACATAGCTGGCCAGTGCGGAGCTATCAGGATAAGTGTGTGGCGTTGCTCTCTCACTTTGGCCAGAGTTGGGGGTATCAGAGCCAGGGGTGGGAACGCGTACAGAAGGCCCGGGGGCCAATTGTGCGCGAGTGCATCCACGCCTAACGGTGCATTTAGATCGCGCATCGAAAAGAACAGCTGACACTGAGCGTTGTCTTTCGATGCGAACAGATCCACCGCGGCTCTGCCGTAACGCACCCACAGCTGGCTCACAATCCTTGGATGTAGAGGTCCAGTCTGCATAAAGTGGTTATACCTCTGGACAGTAGATCTGCCCCGAGGTTCATCACTCCCGGTACGTGCGTCGCTCTCAGAGAGAGGAGACGTCTACCGCTCCATAGGATCAGTTTGCGCGCCAGTGTGTGTAACTGGAGAGAACGCAAACCCCCTTGGCGGTTAATATACGATATTGTGGTCGTATTGTCTGTCCTCACGAGGACGTGATGTCCCCTGAGGAAAGGCCGAAAGCGTTTTAGGGTGAGAAACACCTCTAAAAGCTCCAGGTAATTTATGTGCGCCCGCTGGAGGTCTCTGCTCCAGAGACCCCTCACCGGGCGACCTTCATAAATACCTCCCCAACCTGTCAGACAATGCGTCCGTGGGTGACCACTTTCCGTGAAAGGACAGCACCCATAGGCACACCTCGTACTAGAAAAGTCGGGTGCAGCCAGTGGCGCAGTGCCATTACGCATTTCACAGTAACCATCACTCTTGGGTTTAGTTTTAGGGCGGCCACCCAGCGCTGAAACTCCCTCATGTGTAAGCGTCCCAGTCGTACGACCAGGATGGCTGACGCCATGAGCCCCAGCAATCGCAGGCATGATCTGAAGAGAACATGTTTGGGCAGCTGGAAAAGAGCGAGACAAGCTCTAGAGCTTTCACTCTATCCGCTGACAAGCGAGCTGAAAAGGGCACCGAGTTCAGGCGTAAACCCAGGAAGAGTATAGTCTGCGCGGGGCACAACATGCTCTTCTATGTGTTTATTATGAAACCCAGGTTGAGCAGGTGCTTTACGAGGACATTTGTCTGCGTAACAGCCTCCTGCTCCGACTGTGCGAGAAGCAGCCAGTCGTCCAGGTAGGTCGCCAGGCGAATACCCTGACAGACCGAAGGGGAGTACTCTGTATTCATAACAGATCCCCTGAAATGTGAATCTCAGATATTTCCTGTGTGGGTAATATACTGGGATGTGAAAATACGCATCTTTCAGGTCGACTGATGTAAACCAGTCGTCTTGTCGCACGAGCCGCAGCAGAGATGTGTGAGTGAGCATTCTGAACTTATATCTTTTTAGATATTTGTTCAGAGCCCTCAAATCAAGTATTGGCCGAATTCCGTTCCCTCCCCGTTTGGGAACGAGGAAGTACTTGGAATAGAAGCCGCCCTGACTCTGCACGGCGGGTACAATAGATATAGCCCTCTTTTCTAGGAGAGAGAGAATCTCTCTCTCCAGAATATGGGCTGACTCTCCTCGGGCCTGCGAATGCAGAATGCCCGAGAAGCGAGGAGGGTGACAGCGAATTGGAGTCTGTAGCCCCGTGTTACTGTCTTGAAAACCCAAGCAGATGATGTGAGCATCTTCCACTGCATGCTCCTTAGAGCCAGTGGAGATGTCACATCTCTTCCCCTCTGAGTCTCTATTTGTTGTGTTATGGGGCCCTCTAGTGTCTGAACACAGTGGTGCCCCTTTTCGACAATCCCCACCGACACTGCGCATGCGCATGACGGTGGTGCCTTCACAACCCCAGTTGGCACTGCGCATGCGCGTGGCGGTGGTGCCTTTAAAGCCCCAGCCGGCACTGCGCATGCGCGTGACGGTGGTGCCTTCACAGACCCGCCTGTAATCCGCCTTTTGAGAGATGCCGTAGCTGCTCTCAGAAGGGGAACAGTTGACGGGCTGTTTATTGGTTTTATTGTTTTTCTCATCATTTTTTTGAGCTGCGCCCTCGGCCTGAAGCCTGGATGCGTCAGCGGCAAATGTTTTATGACAGAAAAATCAAAAAATGTGTGACATGTGTTTGTGCGGACTTGAGGATGGTGTTGAGGCATCTCTCGAGGCGGCGGGAACACATTTAGAGCTGGGGAACCGTGGACTTCCAGCTCTGTCACAGAGGGGAGAAGGAGGGGCTGTCACGCCGCTCGCTTCTTCTTCCTCGACTGCTGGCCTAAATTCTGGGTTGGCTGCGCCTGAGCTGCAGCCGGAA